TGAGAAATGCTGTTCCAGGGGAAGCACTACTGTTGTAGAGGAAGAACTCTAAAATTAGAAAAATATGAGCCCTTTCATTCCTCTCTTTCTTGATTAGCCTCTTCTATTTAAAAAATAAAATAAAAACGGGTTTTATTTAGAAATGTTGAGGAAGGGGAGGAGGGAGGGAGGGAGAGACAGAAACAGAGAAAGAGCACAACTCGCAACAGAGAACTCAGACTTCTCCAAAGAGAAAGAGAGTACCATTACACACCCCAGAGTTAAGGTAGAAAAGTACAGATCTCATGGGGGGAGATGTACTCTGGTACCACATAGTCAGGCAATGCATGTGCACAGATAAACCCCTTCAGGTACCAGGCATTGATGTTAAATGCTAACAGTGGATAGAGAAGTCACAACTTCTGATTAAGTTAATAGTCTACTTAGGGAGAGGCCAAGTAAACAAGCACGATGCTCTGAGATAAGAACTCTAGAAAGGGAGTGGAAAAACAATCCAGGAGTGTGGGAGGTGGGGGATTTCAGAGCCAGAGTACAGACATTTGAGGTAGGACAGAGAGAGAGTTCAAAGGGCTGACCAGACCCAAAGCTTAATGTAGGCAGGTTAGATCTCAGGCACTGCCTCTCATCTCTGCTCCCTATCCTGGCCCCAGCAGCTTCTGAGCTCAGAGCTAGAAGTTCACCCAAACATCCACCAAACCAAAATAAGCAAAGATATTTGCTGTTGTAGTTTCTCCAGTGAATGAAACTGTAAAATTGTTGTATATAGTCCTTGTTAAGTTCCTTTCATTGCCATTTTCGTGAGATATTTTATCATTAAATGGATGTTTGATTCTGTCAAAAGCTTTCTCAAGATCTGCTTATACAGCAAATGATTTTGAATCTTTCTTTTGTTGATGTGATATATTATATTAAATTATTTGCATCCCTGGGTAAATCCTGCTTGATCGTGATATATAGTCCTTTTATAATGTATTGCTGAGTTTCCATCACTAAGATTTTTTTATTACTCTTTTTTTTACTCTTTCTAAGAATCAGCCTTTGGTTTTGATGTTGTTTTTTATTTTACCTTTGCTTTTAAATTTTGATTTTCTTTCATATGCTTTAGAAATTTTTTATTTGGGTGATACATCTAGTAGTGCTACAAGGCTACTTACTCTCAGTTCAGTGACCAGGGGTCGTCACAAGCAGTGCTTAGGAAATTATGCAGTTCTAGGAATTGATCCTCTGGTATGCAAAAAATGTACTCCGGCCTGTTAAGCTTAGTCTCTAGCTCTTTACTCCAATTTTTAGTATGGTTTTTTTTTCTGCTGACTTGGAGTTTCAGTTGTTGTTCTTTTCCTCATTTCTCAGCTTAGTTTGTTTATTTGAGGCTTCTCTTGTTTACTGATATAAGCCAATATGTAAGCTAAAGCTACATTACTTTTGTATTCCTTCTGTTTTGTTAATTTATGTCTTTATCCACATTTTTTTCAGAAATTAGTTTTAATTCCTCGACTTCCTCATTGACCAAGTAGCAATGAACAGCATGTTGTTTTGTCTCAAAAATGTTTGAGTTTTGAGGGCCGGAGTGATAGCACAGCGGGTAGGATGTTTGCCTTGCACACGGCCGAGCTGGGTTTAATCCCCAGCATCCCATATGGTCCCCCAAGCACTGCCAGGAGTAATTCCTGAGTGCAGAGCCAGGAGTAACCCCTGAGAATCACTGGTTGTGATCCCAAATTTTAAAAAAATGTTTGAGTTTTTGCCAGATTTCTTTGTATGCTTGATTTTGACCTTCCTAACAATGTGACATAAAAAGATTCTTTAATGATGTATAGCTTCAGGATTTTATTGAACCTTATTTATGTGAAGCTTATTTATGTCCCAGAATGTGGTATCTCCTAGAGAAATTTTTGCACCAACTGTAGAAGAATGAGTAATCAGCTCTGGAGGGGTGCAATGTCCTATGTCTATTAGCTCAGCCTTGCCTAACTCATATAAATCTACAGCTTCTACACTGACATTCTTTGGTTGGTGAGAGTGGGGTGTTGAAGTCTTCTACCACTATCACAGTGTTTATTTCTCTCTTCGGGCCTAGTAGTTGTTTCACGATTTTCATGATCATCCTGTCATTCGTCGATTGTCTTGAGCAGGCACCAATAATGTCTCCTTCACCCTAGCCCTGAGATTTTAAAAAGTTCCATATTCAAGGCTCTTTCAGGATTAGGAGAATGAGACCCATCATTGTTACTGGTATTTGGCATATTGGGTACACCACGAGGAGTTTGCCAGACTCTGCCGTGTGGGCAGATTACATTTGGTAGCCTGCCAGGCAGGTTGTCTAAAGTAAGAATGAGAAAATAAGATGTCACGCGCATGCTTCCGAGAGCTGGGTTTTATAGTCTCTGGGTCTTGGCAATTTGTGGGATTACACGGCACCGGAGAGGGGGGAAGGGCAGTTAGTGGGTGTGACCCCCACCTACTGGAAGATGGAGGATATGGGTGGAGGATGCTCAGCCCCAATCCAAGCAGGCTTGGAAAACTCAGACCCAGGACCCGCATGCCTTTGTTTCTCTGCTGGTACCTTCATGCATGTGGAGAGTGGAGAGTGGTCTCAGAATGGTTGTGGCTGGTTCTGTAGGTCTTCTGCTGCCAGGGCTCTGCTCGGGGCAGGGAGGAAAACTCAGCCAAGTATTTGTTGTTGTTTTAAATATTTTAATGCTCTTTCACTTTCCCCACTTATGTTAATAGAAACATTTATATATAAACATCTATCCTGACTTTATTAGTTGTAAACATATTTTGTCAGATGTAGTAAATATGGCTCTTCCTACCTTTTCGAGATTAATTTTTGCTTCTTTAATTGATTTAAACCTTCTGAACCTATGCTTTTTTGCTTGTTTGCGTTTGTTGTTGTTTTGAATAAGCCCAGCTCTGCTCAGCGCTTACTCCTGACTGTGCTCAAGGATAATTCCTGGTGAGCTCCAGGAACCAGATGTGGTTCCAGGGGTCAAACCTGTATGCAAGGCAAGTTGCAATCACTCTGGCCCCACTTTGAACCTACATTTATCAATGAGGTTCAAATGGCTTCCTGTTGGGTTTTGTTTCCTGATCCATTCCATCTCTCTTTGGTCAATTTAGACCTTATCAAACTAGTGAAATTCTTTTTTTTTTTTTTGGCTTTTTGGGTCATACCCGGTGGTGCTCAGGGGTTACTCCTGGCTCTGCACTCAGGAATTACCCCTGGCGGTGCTCAGGGGACCGTATGGGATGCTGGGAATCGAACCGGGGTTGGCTGTGTGCAAGGCAAACGCCCTACCCGCTGTGCTATTGCTCCAGCCCCCTAGTGAAATTCTTAATATAAAGAAATTCATTACTATTTTGGTAGATTGAATATGGGCATTTTGCAATTTGCATTTGATTTTTTTAGTTTACCCTTATTTATCTCCATATACTTAAATGGGATTTTTGGGGGGTGGGGAAGTGGGAGGTGCATCGGGACACATGTGTCACATCCAGTAGTGCGCAGGGCTTATTTCTGCTTCTATCCATAAGGGTCACTCTTGGCAATGCTGAAAGAACCTTATATAGTACAAGAAATTGAACTGGGGTTCCACACACCATGTATTGTCTTTACCCCTGTACTAACTACCACTCCAGTCTCTATTGATCCCTTTGCACTTGGATATCTGTTTTCTGTGTGGTGATCAGATTCCATTTTTCTCTTCATATTTGCTTCTTCTGCGTCTTTTGTATTGAGACAATCATGACTTTTTTTATATAAAGTGCCAAACTTTTATTCTAGTTTTAATTTAAAGTCAAGATCAATCAAAGATAATACATTATTGCTCTCCCTCCCTAAGCTTTATATTTTTAAATTATCTTGCTACTTCTAATTGTGGTTATTTGACTTTTATAGAGGATACTTTTTTGTTTCTGTATAGTCGAGTAAGAGGCCATGAATGCATTTAATTGTCATTTTTCTTTAAGAAGATATTTTTCACTTCTTTAAGTATTAGTAATAATATCCTGCATAGATTAATCTTGATTAAAGGTTTTATTTGTACTTTGTACATATCATGCCATTTCATTTTGACCTGTACAATTTCAGTTGATAAGTATTCTGGGAGTCTTATGGGAAGGTGGGTTCCATTATAATTGTGTCTTTCATTTTTCTCATTTTGCGTTTCAGAGTCTATCTGTGTCTTTAGCATTTGCCATTTTAGTTATCATGTATCTTGGTATATACTTATTTAAGTTTATTCCATTTAGAACCCATTGATGCTCTTGAATCTGGTTATATGTTTTCTTCCTAAATTTGAGGAAATTATCAGCTATTATTTCTTCAACTAGTAACGCTTCCTTTTTCTATTCCCTCTCTTTCAGGATCCCTCATGATACAAATAGCCAGTGATGAGGATCTGTGTTCAAGCAGACCTGGGCACTATTGGAGGTTCTTATCACAAGTACCAGGCAGTGCATGTGGCTCTAGGTTTCTATGGACTAACTTCTGGGAATCTGTGGGCATGAGGGACTTTAGCTGCTACGACACTGATCACTGATAATGAGTGGGCCTGGACAGTGATAGCCTCAATTCTCCTAGTCAAAGAGATTCTCATTTAATGAATAAATGAAGAAATGAAAATATAATTTACTTAACATTGCAGAAAACATTGACATCACTTTAACTTAGTGATCAAGATTTATGTCACTAGTATCATCTTGATATGATGTACTTCTTGAAATAATGTGATGAGAATGCATCTGTAGCACTGTAGCACTGTCATTCCATTAATCATCGATTTGCTCGAGTGGGTGCCAGTAGCATCTCCACTTGTTCCAGCCCTGAGGTTTTAGCATCGTAAACTTTATGCCCTCTCTCCAAAGATGTGGCACACCAGCTGGATGTCTTTGGGCATAATGGTGATGCATTTGGCGTGTATGGTGCAAAAGTTGGTACCCTCGAAGAGCCGCACCAGGTAGGCCTTGCATGCCTCCTTCAGCACCATGATCTCCGAGCTCTAGGAGCACAGGTCAACCTTGAAGTCCTGTGCAATCTCGCGCACCAGTCGCTGGAACAGCAGCTTGCAGATAAGCAGCTCAGTGGACTTCTGGTAGTGTCGGATCTTGCGCAGCACCAAGGTGTCAGGCCGGTAGTGGTGCGGCTCTTTCATGCCATCTGTGGCTGGCATGCTCTTGTGGGCTACCTTGGTGGCCAGCTGCTTGCTGGGCACCTTCCTGCCCATTGACTTGTGCACCGTTGGCTTAGTACAAGCCCTCTCATTCTTCCCAACTCAGCTAGAGACTCTTTCAGGGTTAGGGAAATGAGACCTATTTTTGCTACTGTTGTTGGCATATTTAGTACATCACAGGTAGCTTGCCAGGCTCTGCCATGCAGGTGAGATAACCCCGGTAGCTTGCCGAGAATGCATCATCTTTGTGATATTCTTTCCAAAAATTTATAACTGAGGCTAATCATCTGAAGACGTTACACAAACGGAACTCTAGATATATTCTGTAATATACCTGACCCATAGTCTTTTTTAAATAAATGTATTTGTTTGCCTTACAATATTTCAAGTGTTGAGCTTTGCAGCTCTATATGTGTATAATTCTCAAAATTTCAAACACCACAATTCTAGTGCCATCCTACCACCAAGATTCTCATTTATTCATTCTTCCCACATTACTTTCTCTTTTACCTTAGGTAACAACCACAGCTTTTACTGAGAGTAAATATTAGTTTTATTGGTATTTTCACTTTGTTTCTTTATCTCATGTTCCCCTTTTGAATAAAACCATCCAATAATTGTCTTTTACTCCCTTTTGCATTTCACTTGGTGTAATTACCTTGGAATCCATTCATTTTACTCCGAAGAATACAATTTCAGCTTTTAATTAGCAGACTAGTATTCCACTGTGTACATATACCACAATTTCTTTATCTTGTCATCTATCTAAGGGCATTTAGGTTGATCCATGTTATGGCTATAAAGAATTATTCTGCTATGAATATAAGCGTGCAAATACATTTCCCAATTATTGCTTTCATATCCAATGAGTAAATTCTTAGGAGAAGTGATGATGGATCAACTAGAATTTCCATTTTTTAATTTAAAACCAGATTTATATTTTTTACACAGTTACAAATGGGTTTGTGATGATTGCGCTTCAGTCATAAAATATTCCAACATCCATTCTTTCACCAGTGTACATTTCCCACCACCAATGTCCCCAGTTTCCCTTTCCCTAATTTTCCTCCTCCTCCTCCTCCTCCTCCTCATCCTCCTCCTCCTCCTCTTCCTCCTCTTTCTCCTCGTCCTCCTCCTCCTCCTTCTTCTTCTTTGTTGCCGTCATCATCATCATCTTCTTCTTCCTTTTCCTTCTCTCTCTCGTTCTGTGTCTTTCCTTTTGGGCCTTGTGCTTTGCAATACAGGTACTGAAAGGTTACCAGGTATATTCTTTTACCTACTTTCAACCCTTAGTTTCTGTCCAAAATGATCATTTTTAGCTATTATTGCCATATTGGTCCCTTCTCTAGCTTAACTGCCCTTCTTCCCTGCCCACACGCTCTAGTGACAAGTTTTCAATCATTGGCCTATCCTTCTGTCCCCCATTTTCCCTGGCCTTGAACACTAGTCTCAAACTATATTTTCTTATATTCCAAGAGTGAATGCAGTCATTCTATATCCATCCCTCTTCTTCTGATTCATTTCACTCAGTATGATACTTTCCATGCCCATCCATTTATAAGCAAAGTTCATGACTTCATTTTTCCTAATGGCTGCATAGTATTCCATTGTGTAGTGGTACCATAATTTTTTTAACCAGTCATCTGTTTTTGGGCACTTGGGTTGTTTCCAGATTCTTTTCTGGCTAATGTGAGTGATGCTGCAATGAACATAGAAATGCAGATGATGTTTCTGTTGTATGTTTTGGGGCCTCCAGCGTATATTCCCAGAAGTGGTATAGCTGGGTCAAATGGAAGTTCAATTTCATTTGAGAAATGTCCATATTGTTTTTCAAAAGGGATGGACAAATCGGCATTCCCACCAACAATGAGTGAGAGTCCCTTTCTCTCCACATCTGCACAGCATTAGTTGTTCTTATTATTTTTGATGTGTGCCAGTCTCTGTGGTGTGAAATGATATCTCATTGTTGTTTTGATCTGTTTCTTCTTGATGATTAATGATGTAGAGCATTTTTCCGTTTGCCTTTTGGCCATCTGAATTACTTCTTTGAGGAAGTTTCTGTTTATTTTTTCTCCCCATTTGTTGATGAGGTTTGATGTTTTTTCCCTTGTAAAGTTTTACCAGTGCCTTATATATCTTGGATATTAATCCCTAATCATATAGGTATTGGGAAAATATTCCATGGACTGACTTTGTAGCTTAGTCACCATTTTTAAGGAATCTCTTTAACATTTGCCTTTAAAATCTCTTGCACCAATTTATAGTTTCATCAAGTGTTCCAGTTTCTTCTTTTTCACATCTTCCCTAATGCTTGTTTTCAGTCTATTTTCACCAACATAAGGTTTATGATTTTGACTTTCATTTTTCTCATGAGTGATGCTGATAATGTTTTTATGTATCTGTGGGCCATTTGTATATTTTTCATGTGTCTGTGTGCCATTTGTATGTTCTTCTTTTGAGAACCCTTTTCAATACTCTTAAACAGTGCTAAGGTCATAACAAAAAAGGAAAAAGAGAAAGACAAAGAATTGCCACAGATTGGAAGAGACAGAAGAAATGTTTCACAAATACAATATGGTATCCTAGATTAGATAGTGGAACAGGTAATGGATATTAGTGGAAAACTGAAATTCAAATAGTAAATTTCTTTATTCCACAATGTTATTTTTTTCGTTTTGACAAAAGATAGCATTATGATTATAGATGATAACTTTGTAGAATTTGGGTGGATTGTATGTGTAAATTAGATAGAATCTTTGTAACTCTATAGTTCATAATTATTACAAAGGGGCCTTAAAATTAAGAGGAAGAAAGAAAATATTGAGTTAAAAAGAACTACAGGAGTAAATCGCAGAAATTGGAACTACCCTCGTATATGATTGGAAAGCTTTTAGGGGAGAGGTAGGAGCAAATAGAAATAAAATTCTTTAATTCAGCAGAGTGCAAGCAGGATCCAAAACACATATACCCTAGCATTTAAAGTGACCATACAAAAATATACTATCTTAACTGGAAAACTTTGAGAATGAAAGTAGGAACTTATCTGGGAAGACACTGATAAATAATGCATCAAGAGGTACTGTCGTGGGGAAAATACATACCATGAGTCTAAAAATATGCCACATTAAGGGACATGGACTTTATTTTGAGTGCAATTATGTTTTCAGTAATGCATATTCCTTTTTATCATTGTTACTCATTTATTTTTAAATATTTATTTATTTATATTGAATCACCATGAGCTATAGTTACAAAACTTTCATGTTTGAGTTTCAGTCACAGAATGATTGAACACCCATCCCTCCACCAGTGTACATTTTCCACCACCAATGTCCCCAGTATCCCTCCACCCCCCCATCTCACCCCTCCCCCTGTCTGTATGGCAGACAATTTTCCTTTTACTCTCTTTCTCTTCTTATGGGCATTATGATTTGCAATACAGATAATGAGAAGCCATTATCTTTAGTCCTTTAGCTACTTTCAGCACACATCTCTCATCCCAAGCGATACTGCCAACCATCATTGACTGAGTGATCCCTTCTCTATCCCAGCTGCCTTCCCCAGCTCATAAGGCAGGCTTCCAACTGTGGAGCAATCTTCCTGGCCCTTGTATAATGCGTATTCTTAAAGTACTTAAAACCATTAAAAATTTTCAAAAGTGGGCTGGAGCGATAGCACAGCGGGTAGGGCGTTCGCCTTACAAGCGGCCAAAATGGCCGACCCGAGTTCGATTCCTCCGCCCCTCTCGGAGAGCCCGGCAAGCTACCGAGAGTATTCTATATGCCAGACACAGTAACAACAAAGTCTCCAATGGAGACGTTACTGGGCCCGCTCGAGCAAATCGACGATCAACGGGAGGGCCTTTACCTTTACCTTTACAGTAAACAACTGATACATTTAACAAATAACTGATGATAGCGAGCAGAATACCTGGCATTACACTTGTTTCCTTATAAAACTACATCTCAGAGTCTTTAATTTACTAAAATGAACCCAATATCTTCAAGAACTTACATAAACATGTTTCACAGTCATTTTCTAATAAATATTCTCTGATTCCTTCCCTTAAACTATATAGTCTCAAAATCTTTCCCAATGAAGTACTTATATTTCGTTTTATATGTATTTATTTTTAAGATTATAATGGGATGCTTGAGACAACTGACAGTGCTCAGTGCTTGGGCTCTTTGCTTGGTTTTCAGGAAACCATGTGGGGCTAGGGATCAAATCTGGGCTTCCCACATGAGCAAGCATAAGCTCTCTCTCTCTCTCTCTCTCTTCATCCCAGCACTTTATTTTTAATGAATATCATCAGTAGAATGCAATAATCACAAGGATGGTATGTAATGATATTTTAAAATTTGTGCTTCAAACACTCAATGGCACATTTGAAAATATAAAGTTGAGTAGAACTAGAGATAGTGAGACTGATGAGGAGACTGTCTAAGCGACAGGGTTTCAGACAATGAGAGAGAGAGAGAGAGAGAGAGAGAGAGAGAGAGAGAGAGAGAGAAGAGGGAACAAATGATTAGCACTGATGAGGGAATATAAAAAAGGATTATACTAATCATCATTTAATAATGATCCATATAAGATTTCTATGGACTGTTGAATTTATTATGTCCATGTTTTAAATCAGAGCAAAATCTGTTCTGTCCTTCTGTACCTATCATTAAAGAAGGTTTTAAAGCTAAATAAGAACAAGCAAATGATTAAGCAGAGACACGGGGCCATGTTTAAATTATAAGACACAATAATAAAAAGTCTTATGATTAGATATTTGCTGAAGCCAACTTTTATTTTTATGGCACATTTTTTAAAACAGTTATGGGTTTCACATCGTATTATAAATCAAAACCAGACTTTTATAACAGCTTGTCTCTCTGATTCCTTGTCTTGTTATGTTTTCATTTGTTTGTCTTTCACTTCTCTAGCTAAACCACATGGTGGTCATTTAAAAATATTTTTAGTTCAAAGACTGTTACATGAAGAGGGAATTACCGCCTAGCCACCAGAATATCTATTCTAAACCCAGGAGAAACAGTAGTGGCGAC